GCAGTCCACTTCCACTTGTGCTTTGCAGCCGTCCACTTAAGCTTACCTCTGCTTCAGTTCTTCCTCAAGTTCCTACGAGTCAGGCTATCCCCGTTATTACGACCTCTAATCATCCTTATCCCTCTCGATAGTCCTAGAAATGGCGTCTTCCCAACCAACATCATCGGGGCCCATACTCGATTCCCCTCCGAGTCCGAATCCTCAGTCACAGCCAAACACCGAAACGTCCTCGTCGCAACATCGTGCGAACCCGTCCGAAGCACCAGCCCAAGCCGGCCCTGGTCCTGCACGTCCATCTGCACTCACCAAGCGCCCAAGTCACCGAGAAGTTGCGGCCTACCGCATGTCCAGGAAATTGCAAAGGTTACGCGGCGACAGTAACCAGCCACACTCTCCCACTATGGAGCTCCCCGATCGCCTCAAAGACAATGGAAAAGAAGAGGATGAGGAGGAGGATGTCCTGCAGCCCCAAGGCGGCATGTTCATGAATATGAACCAGAGCATTTTTGGTCTCATCGCTGCTGCTGGAAGCACTGTGGATTTCCACGACCGGTTTGAAGGCCAAAGTTCGGAAGACGAAGACGATGTGCCGAATCACATGGCCATGACCTTTGCTGGCCCGGGCATCAAAGGCACAGCACGCAATCGCGAAACTGCCGGCACTGTCAAGTCATTAAGCCAGACTGTTGTCTTCAACAAGCCACCTGCAAGTGCCACAGCAGATGCAGGACCAAGCAACACCCACCGCCGGCGCCTTTCTGGACACAAGCTTTTACAGTCGGTTCCCGGTCTCTCCCGGCTTGCAAGTTCCCACAAGTCGAAAAAGTCAAAACAACACAAGGGCACAGCGATGGCGGATCACAAAATCGAAGAAGAAGAAGACCCCGACCCATCTTCTCCTCTTCCTCCACTAAGCAAAGACGAAACCAAGTCGCTCGGCCTTGCCCCACCAATAGAGATCGTCCGAGCAGAAGGGAACGGGGCACCTCTCATGAGCAGAATGCTTGAGGCACGGGCCGAGATGGCAGCCCGACCCAGTTTCGATCTTGACAGATTGTCAGGAGAACATCGTCGTGATGACGCCGGCGTAACCGGACAGCTTGCCCAACATCGTCGTGATGACGCCGGCGTAACCGGACAGCTTGCCCAACATCGTCGTCATGACGCCGGCGTAACCGGACAACTTGCCAAAAAGTTAAAGGATATCTTCGAGTTTGACACGGCCGAAGAGGTTATTGAAGAGTACCCTTGTTGGTTGCTACAACATGTTCTCCTGCAGGGCTACATGTACATTACGGCCAACCACATCGCCTTCTATGCCCACCTCCCCAAAAAGGCAGTAAGTCGTTGTCTGACCATGATACGACACACTGTCAGTCGCTAACGTCAACAGCACGAGATCGCAAAGTCCGGCTACCTGTCGAAGAGCGGCAAACGAAATCCAAAGTACAACCGCTATTGGTTCCGTCTGAAGGGGGATGTCCTCTCATACTACCAGGATCCCAAGGATCACTACTTCCCCGCTGGCCAGATCGACTTACGATACGGCATTTCGGCCAGCGTGAACGACAAGGAGAAAGAGGGCAATTACTTCTCCGTCACCACGCATCACCGAACATACCACTTCAAGGCTGACAGCGCTCGGAGTGCAAAGGAATGGGTCAAGAGCCTACAGCGGGTCATCTTCCGCTCGCACAATGATGGAGACAGCGTCAAGATCTCGATCCCTATCAGGAATATCCTTGACATTGAGGAAACTCAGATGGTGGAGTTTGCAGATACTTGCAAGATTCGCGTCATCGACAATGATGAGACATATGCTATCGACGAGGTAAGACACTGGTGCATTTTGTCTCGTTGGTGCATCTGCTAAAAAGTACTAGTATTTCTTCTCCTTCTTCAGCTTCGGCAAGAAGGCCATCCAGGTTCTCAAGATCCTTATAGAGGATTCCTCACCCGAAGATTCTGGAGCGAACGACGCCACCAAGGGAACGGGAGGAGACGGGGCGATTGGTGACAATCTCGGCAGCCCACGAACTCGCACATTCAGTGAAGGGGTCAAAGCTACGCTTTCCCCGGTCTCGCCCATCCAGATCGCCTCCCCGAGTTCTCGTGCTAGCGGCGATTACTTCAAGAGCAGCTTCGATGGTACCCGACCTTTCAGTCGCCGAAGTTTCGACGCCAGCCCAGGCACAGCAGGTTACGCAGGCTCGCCTCCCCGCAGCCTTCATGGAGACGGCCGGAGATCGTTTAGCAAACCCCGCCACGAGCCATATGCGAGTACCGATTCGTACGCCCAGAGCTTCGATGACCCTAGTCAGGCAAGTCTATCGGCCTTGGTGGCCTCTGGTAGCGAGGATCAATCAGCCAGCCAAATTCTCCGAGGAAGCGATGTTTTTCACAGCCCAATCTTCCGTAGGTCGGCATCGGCTACGCGCGCGACAACAGAGGGGGAAAGGGTCGCTGCCCCGCCGATTGTGCGTCAACACACCGCGGGCTTGGTCCGACTTCACGGACCTCATCATGCAGCCACCACGGGCCAGATTGGTGACCACATGGCAGAAGCAGAAGGCGGTCCTTCAACGCCCATGCTGCAAAGCATTGCGATGATGGGCAATTACCCATTGCAGAGGGCCAACGCATTTATGGGCTATTTGGACCAGCAGTCCAGGCGCATGAGCAACCTTCTAGCAACAGAGTCCATGGGATATGTCGAGAAGGTGTCTGGCATGTGGAAGGGCGGCAAGAAGCATTACGATCATCCTGCTGGAAGGAGGACCGAAAGGGAGGATGTCGAGGATGACCCCGAGGAGAGGGCTCTGTCAGAAGCCCGTTTTCAGGCGCACTTTGCCTTGCCGGAGACGGAGAGGTTGCAGGCTGCGTACTTTGGGTTCATTGTCAGGGTTTTGCCACTCTATGGCAAGATTTATATCAGCAACCGCCACTTCTGCTTCCGCAGCTTGCTACCAGGCACCCGGACGAAGCTCATCCTGCCTCTGAAGGATATTGAGACTGTCGACAAAGAAAAAGGGTTCCGGTTTGGGTACTCCGGCTTGGTCGTCGTTATCCGTGGCCATGAGGAGATTTTCTTTGAGTTTGCCAAGGCCGAGAACCGGGATGATTGTGCTATTACGATCATCCAGAGCTTGGATGCAGCGAGATACCTGGCCGAGTCGCAGGAGGTGGAGGAAGCGCAAGCAGCGGAAGCTGAGAGGGATGCACTCAACCAGGCAAGAAACGACGAGTTCCCTGGTCATGAGATCGAGCTTCCTCGACAGGCATCTGGGGTATCTGATGCCCCCACGATACTGTTCGACGACCCCAAGGCTTCATTCCTAAACTTTAAGCCCAGCGAGCCCATGCGCATCACCTGTTTGACCATCGGTTCGCGCGGCGACGTCCAGCCTTACATCGCCCTCTGCAAGAGGCTACTCGAAGAAGGGCACCACCCCAAGATCGTCACACACCGGGAGTTTAAAGACTGGATCGAAAGCCACGGGATCGAATTCGGTCCCGTTGAGGGTGACCCTTCGGAACTCATGCGCATCTGCATTGAAAACGGCACGTTCACCTACGCCTTTCTGCGCGAAGCCAACTCCAAGTTCCGCGGCTGGCTCGACGAGCTGCTCACTTCAGCCTGGGAAGCCTGCCAAGGCAGCGACCTGCTCATCGAGTCTCCCTCCGCCATGGCAGGCATCCACATCGCCGAAGCGCTTGGGATTCCCTACTTCCGCGCCTTCACCATGCCGTGGACTCGCACGCGCGCCTATCCTCATGCTTTTATAATGCCGGGGCAGAAGATGGGCGGCGCGTATAACTACATTACGTACGTCATGTTCGATAATGTTTTCTGGAAGGCTACGGCGCATCAGGTCAATCGGTGGAGGAACAAGTACCTCGGTTTGCCCAACACCAGCCTCGAGAAGTTGCAGCCCAACAAGGTTCCCTTCCTCTACAACTTTTCTCCGTCTGTGGTGCCTCCTCCCATCGATTACAGCGACTGGATCCGCGTCACTGGGTACTGGTTCCTCGACGAAGGAGGCGACAAGTGGCAGCCACCCAAGGAGTTGACCGATTTCATTGCCAAGGCCAGGGCTGACGAGAAGAAGCTGGTTTACATTGGCTTTGGAAGTATTATTGTTTCGGACCCCGCCAAGATGACGCAGGAGATTATCGACGCCGTCCTTAAAGCTGACGTTCGCTGCATTCTCTCGAAAGGTTGGTCCGACCGGTCAGCAGCAGTCGACGGTAATGAGAAGCCAAAGGTGGCAGACCCAAATTTCCCCCCAGAAATTCTACAGATCCAGTCCGCCCCACACGACTGGCTCTTCCAGCAAGTTGATGCCGCTGCCCATCACGGCGGCTCTGGAACTACTGGCGCCAGCTTGCGGGCTGGTATCCCGACTATCATTCGCCCCTTCTTCGGTGATCAGTTCTTCTTTGCGGGACGAGTCGAGGATCTTGGGGTCGGGATTTATCTGAAGAAGTGGGGAGTCCAGAGTTTTGCGAGGGCGCTGTGGGAAGCGACGCATAGTAGCAGAATGCAGATGAGGGCTGAGGTATTGGGAGGCCAAATCCGCGCTGAGAACGGTGTGGATACCGCTATCCAGGCCATCTACCGCGACTTGGACTACGCCAGGAACTTGATCACCTTGAAGAGGCAGAAACATCAGTCGCGGAGGAATAGCGTAGCTACGCCCACGCCGGGTGCCAAGCCCAACGCTACCGAGGATGACCAGGGTCAGGAAGCCGAAGAGGACGACGTTGATGCGGACGATGAAGAGGAAGAGAACTGGACCTTTGTTGGAGGGAACGAGGATGATCTGACGGGGTCTATGTCCATGTCGAGAAGTGATATGCTGAGTCAAACGGTTGCGGATTTGAGGGGTGTGAAAGTCGGGAAGGCACCAGCTTTGGGAAGCCGGGTGTTGAGTTCTCCGTCTACCAGCCCAGGCGCAATGAGGGGAGCAGGCGGCGTGAAGTATGTTTAGAGAACGCCTGGGTGGTAGAGGTAGTCAGGCTTGGGTAGCTGCTATGGATCACGGAACATAGCTGGGTTGTCTCCTTGGTGTTTCTTTTTTTCTTCTTCTTCTTCTTTCTCCTGCTCATTTTCTCGGAGAAAGACGACTGACAGACAGACGCATTGGCTCGTGCCACGGCTGGCGTGCTGGAGTAACGGTACAAGGCACTCGAATGTTTTACTGCGGGGAACTACATGGATGTTTTCAGGACACCGCTTGGATGGATTCTCACAAGGACTTCTGGCTCACTTCTCCTACCTACAAGATTCTACTTTACTACAGACACTCACACTCCTGGAAAACGGGTGGGGTTGACTTGGCTATTATATCAATACATCATATCAATACCTAATAGACACTATTCATTCATTGGACAACGCTATACGCTAACATCGGTGCCTTCCCTTCCCCTACTCGTAACACACTGCCAATTCCGGATGCAAGCCACGGGTACCAAGACCACAAAAGGCAAGGGAACGGACACAAAGATGGTCGCGGTTGAAGGGCAGTGTATAATGTGTTCAAATAAAGAACATTACCTCTAACACATAAAGAAGGGACGCCACCTTCCCGAACTCACACGGGACCTTTTCAACGAGGTATCGGGGCCAAGGTTGAAAAGTGTATGCTGAACTGCTCTTCTTGTCAGATTCTTCAAAACGATGCCTGTATGGGATTGGATTTGAGAAGTCTTGGGTACCTCTATGATGAGGACTGCCACTAGGTAGGTATCAATGCAGCACGTCCGTGTACCTATCAACCCCGCAAACGGTCTGGCGCAGTCAATGCCGCCAGCGGTAACGGCAGCCATGTCTTGTTAGGTATGTATCGGTACCTCTACAACCCGTGACACTGATAGGGTGACATGGAGTCCACAGACAGGTGAGTATATGATTGGTCCGGAATTCACCCATTGACAAAAGCGAGTTGGAGAAGTTCCCCAAAATCAGCCTCCGGAGGTACAAAAGGGCGCGGCTCCCATCTCCCCTCGGCGGCCTTTGCAGGCCATGTCTCGCCTTCAAGTGAGCCGCCTCGAGTTTCATTGCTTCACTGAAGTCAAACTCGCCCGACTGGACACAACCGTCGCAATATTACCTACTACACGCACAGAACTCTCAACCAAGACATCTCCGTGGCACCGGGTTACGGGCACATTACATCACTTGTCAGTCACTTTCTCTAGATGATATACCAGCTTGAATACTGTACATTGAATGCAGGTTGACATTGATATCGAAGTAGTACCGCCTACCTAGGAACTGAATTGATCCAAATCAACCTGGCGGTTGTTGTACAGGTACATCGAGATCAGCTACAGTACAACCCTTTTGGCTGAGAGCTTGGACCACCCCTTCGTTCCGCCCCATAAGTGGTACCGCAAAGCTACCTGCGCTAGACCTGATCAGGACATATTCAAATTCCCCACTCTGAATCTTGCAGAGCTTCAGAGGTCCAGCGAGGTCCAGGTCCAGGTCGATCGTGCAGTGAGTGGTCGCACTTCTACGTTCCATCTTCAATTCAGTCGCGGTTCGCAGCAAAAGAACAAAACATCGATCACGGGCGCCACACGACAAACCCAACCCCAAAACCCTTCAACAACCAACACCGAAAAATTGCACGCGCTTGTTGCGCTATGGGTTTACTCATCCTACCAAACACCCATCATCTACTTTCATCTCCTCAGGGAGCCCCGTTGTAAGTGGACAGCGAGCGAGCCTCCTCGGTGGCGCGACGCCGTGGCCGGGCATGGATTGCGCCGGATGATGGTCGATGCTAACAAACACTCTTCTTAGTTGAGTCGCCACCTTTACACAATCGTCCGACCGATCGCACAAGCCGATAAGCCATATCCGCGACCATGGTCAAAACAATCCAGCTGGGAAGCCGGCTGCGGTACCCCATCACCATCACCAAGCTCTACAAGGAACCCAACCAGCCCATCAAGAAAAAGGAAGCGCTCTTCCAGTACTCGTTCAAATGGAAGCGCACAGTCGGCGACAACATCCGCGGAGAGACATGGGAAGCCGAAGAAACCACCTACGCCGACTGGAGTTCGCCCTCAGACGGCGAGCTCAAGTCATGGAAGATCCGCGTCGGCCAAGAAATCTCCCGAGATCAAGACTGCATGGTCGTCAAGGAGTCGTGCTCCCATGATGTCCAGTTTGGCGGCCTCTGCGCCATCTGTGGCAAGGACATGACCGAGGTCAACTGGGCCGCCGAGTCCCGCGACATGGACCGCGCCCCCATCAACATGGTGCACGACCAGACACACCTCACCGTCAGCGAGACGCAGGCCCAAAAGACCGAGAACGCCCTCCAGCGCCGTCTGCTCCAGCACCGCAAGCTCAGCTTGGTCGTCGACCTGGACCAGACCATCATCCACGCTTGCATCGACCCGACCGTTGGCGAGTGGCAGAAGGACCCGTCCAATCCCAACTACCCATCCGTCCGCAACGTCAAGTCCTTCCAGCTGGACGATGGCCCCCGCGGCGTCGCCAACAACTGCTGGTACTACATAAAAATGCGGCCAGGCCTCGAAGACTTTCTCAAAAAGATCTCAACCATGTACGAGCTACACGTCTACACCATGGGCACTCGCGCCTACGCCCAGAATGTGGCGCGCATCGTCGATCCCGACAAGAAGCTGTTTGGCAATCGGGTCATCAGCCGCGACGAGAACGGCAACATGTACGCCAAGAGCCTACAGCGGTTGTTCCCCGTCAGCACCAAGATGGTGGTGATCATTGATGATCGAGCGGACGTGTGGCCGCGCAACAGGCCCAATCTGATCAAGGTCTCGCCATATGACTTCTTCAAGGGAATTGGTGATATCAACTCTGGGTTTCTGCCGAAGCAACAGGGTCTGCTTACTCCGAGTGCGGCGGCGACCACGAATGGTGGTTTGGCGCGCATTGCACCGGCGCCATCTCCCGACAAGGAGGACAGCACCACGATGGAGCCGCCGCTGGAGAAAGCCCTCGAAGAGCAGGAAAAGACGCTAGAAAAACAGATCAAAGACAGGCCTTTGCAAGCGCTGCAAGAGCAGCAAGACAAACAAGATGAAGCAGCCGAGAGGGCATCCGCCACCCCAGAAAACGGCAACACCGAGTCCACCACTCCTCCACCCCCTCATCACCGGCACCAGGTTTTGCAAGACGACGACCGGGAACTCGCCTTTCTCGAAAACCACCTCACAGCCCTTCACAAATCCTTTTTCCAAGCTTACGAGCAGAACCGCCTTTCCCAACCCTCCTCCTCTCCATCCTCGCTCGACACTCAATCCATCCCAGACATAGGCTCCATCCTCACCACGCTTAAAGCTCAAGCGCTCAGCGGATGTAAAATCGTCCTCTCCGGGATTGTTCCGATAGGGATGGACGTCTACCGCTCCGAGATCGGGTTGCAAGTTGCCAGCTTTGGAGCCGAATTGCGCAGCTCCGTGACGGGAGACGTGACGCACTTGGTAGTCAGCTCCCAGAGGCCACGGACGAAGAAGGTCAGACAAGCAATACGCTACCTGCCCAAAATCAAGATCGTCAACCAGGACTGGCTGGCAGCGTGTTTCTCAGAATGGAGGGTGGTGGAGGAGGGGCCTTATCTCATCGAAGGACTGGAGGATGCGCAAAAGAAGTTGAACGAAAAGGTTCAGGATGCCGAGGCAACAGAGACGGTGAGCGATGCTGATGATACAGACAGCGGAAATGCGCCGCCGGGGAAAAAGAGGATCCTGAGATTAAAGTCGCCACCGAGAGTCCGGTTCGCCACCGCCGCTAGCACTGGGAACGACGAGGACGAGGATGAGGACGAGGAGGACTCGGATTCGGGTGGAGATGATGAAGACGAGGATGAGGATATGGATGAGGAGCTCGAGGCGTTCAAGCCAACGGATGCTGATGGACAATTAAGCCCTATTGATGGGCTAAAGACGTTCAATTGGGGTAGCGCGGATGAAGAGTTGGCAGAATTTCTTGAATCTGGTTCGGACGACGAGGATGAGGAGGAAGATGAAGATGATGATGAAGATGGCGACAATGCAAATGGCGACGAAGATGAGGAGGCACCCGCCCAGGCGACAACAAATATAAATACAACAAGCTCGTCCTACGAAAAATTACCGGCCGCCCAAGGCACTGCGCCCCCAACAAAACGCAAAGCAGACGACGAGGAAGAAGAAGAAAGTCACAAACGCCAGAAATCCCTCCTTGGTCCCGGTCCCTCCTCGCTTAGAAACGAGCTAAAGGATGAGGACGTTGAGGCTACAACTGCGGAGGTGGAAACCCAGGCTGCCCACGATGATCAGGATGTTCAAGATGCAGATGACCTGGACAAGGAATTTGAGGAGCTGGATGAGGAGGCCTTGGAGGCGGATTTCCTGGCGATGGATGATAGCGACGGGGACGAGGCACAAGGGCAACAAGTGGACGGGGATGAAGCGGGGAATGGAGGTGTTAGTGAGAATGGCTAGGAGCACATCTGAAATTGGGACGAGAATTGATGAATATGGGAATACGTACAGTATTGGTAATGTTCTGTAATGTGTAACCTATAGTAGTGATGAGATCCTCTCGTGTGCTTGTAAGGTAGGTGGGTACCTTTGTTTTGATCATGATGCAAGGTGTAAATGAGGCCAAGTTGTGGTGTGCATCCATATTAGGTGTTTAAGGGTCAGGCGTGGTTATGGACATTTTGTAGTATCTATCACTTCACTTATTGCTATGATTTCGATACTTCGTTGTTGTTGATTGTGGTGATGAACTTCTATGAAACCGTCTATGAAATGCTGCTAACATCCCGGGGGTCCACCAACCACTATCATCTGTTAGCGCGCTACCGCCTTACGTAATCTCACACAACTAAGCAGCCGGCCCCTCCCCATGGAGCTCCAGGCTCGCTGACACCTTCCCCGGCTGCTGCCGCGGTGGGCGGCACAACAGGGCTGGCTGCCAATTGAAGCTCAAGTTGATTTCGTCCGTCGCAACGAAGCGTTTCTACATCACTTCTTCCACTCTCCTCCCCAGAGCTCCGCCCGACTCCTGTCCCCTCGACAACTCCCACCGACCGATCGAGCACGGCAGACATAGCAGGCGATTGATTATTTGATCGAAGCGAAGAGCCAATCGAGCAGGGCGCAAGCGACCGAGCAAGAGGAACACAGAACTCTCGAACCCACACGATTAGCCCAACATGCCTCAGGATATGCCCCCCGCTGGCGGCTACGATGCCGTTCAGTACAAGGTGGGTCTGCTCTTTTCTTGCTCTTTGTTTCAGCTGGCAATGGACAAGGCGCGATACGACGGATGAGGTACACTCGACAACTGGGGACCGTCTTCGGCAGAGGAAAATAAAATGTGGACGAGGGGAAGAGGAGGGTAACGAAGTAACGAGGAATCGGAACGTTGGAAGGCTCGTGGACAACAACTGGTGGAGTGCTGCTCGAGTCGTGTCATCCCCAGGCCTATACTGGCCCTGACTCCCAAGTCGAAGAAACTGCGCAGCGACCTGCGCCGACAAACAAGAATACGGATTGATGGGTCAGAAAATATCAATGCGAAACCACCGTCTTGGAAAAGGCAGAATATCGCAGCATGCTCGAAGTCGTTCTGTCGGACGTTGGAGATGGAGTCCCTCCCCGACCAGGATGCGTGGCCTTCGAACTGTACCTGGAATCCGGGGAAGTGGGTTATGCTGTGGGGACGGGGGACAAGAACAGAAACGTGCGAGGTCGTCGAGAACAACAACCGACATACGATTCACAACCAGCAAGTTCATGATTGCCTACGGTTCTGCCCTTGGTGGTATTCAGCCGTTGTGACCAGAGGGCTGCGCCGTGCGAAGAGATCGGAAACGTTGCCTGAGCTGGAAAATATCGGAAACTCCCTCGCGGCCCCGTCCTCGTACTCAGTGTCGTCCTTCGCGTCCTTCAAGCACCGTCTCCACGCAGAGGCGTCTACGAGCTGTTTCGTTTCGTCGAGTTGGAAAAGCCTGAAACTGACCATGACTTTCCAGCGCAACCTCCCGCCTAGCGCCTTCAAGCCCAAGACCTTGCTTGCCTTTGGTGGTTTGATCATGGTTTACGGCTGGTACCATCTCTTCCACGGTATCCGTGAGCAAAGGTACCTTGCCTCCACTTTCTCACATGCTGTCTCTCCATCTCTACCCCACCCCTTTCCCTTTTTCCTCTCCATTTCCTTACACACCAGACGGCTCACTCAACCAATCACACTAGAGAACTCGCCCGCGAGAAGATGTGGTCCCGCATCCACCTGATCCCGGCCCTCCAAGCCGAAGAAGACCGTGATCTTGTCCGTCGCCACTTGGCCGACGTCCAGCGCGAGAAGGAGCTGCTCGGAGACAAGGCCGTCAAGGCTTACCACTCGGACAGATATGTCCGTCCTACTTTTGCAGTTACTCCCGGGAAGATCATCAAAGATTAGATGTGGACTTGGAGGAAGAAGCGCCGAGAATGTGGACATGGCGAGGGGAGGAACACAGGACTCCCTGGCTGGTCGTTGGCTGTTGGCTGTACCTACCTAGATGAGGTACTTGCCTGATTCAAAATGAAGGGTTAGAATAAACTTAGACGAGAAAGCAAATCAGGGTGTTGAGGTAATGACAGGTTATGCGGTCTGAGACTCCGATTCTTTGGACATAGAGGTATGTAGAGGTATATGAGTCCTAACCCTCATGGGACAGAACTTGAAGATACCTACCTACCTCGCAATGATACTATGAGCTTGGGTCTCCATTCGGCGAGCAACTACGTAGACGTTTGCATCGTCGTTAATGCTAGGGCTACCGTACATAACTCTCATTGTGGTTTCACCAATGCTGCGTGCTCTTCATGTTCGTGTTTGGAAGCCTTTGACAATCAGCGTCTTCCTCCCACTATAGCCATGAAGCTCACCTTCAAACTATCACGAAGGCAGCTCATATCTAGCCACAAATTCTCGCAGCATGATCTGACACATGAGTGCCGTGACAATCCATGTGTGGATCGAAAGTGCTATAACCATTTTACTTAACAGCATGCCCGGTGACGGCGGCGGGAAGACGAGGAGGAACGAAAGGGTCAGAGGCACTTCCAGCCTTGATGAGTAGAAGTACACTTGTAAGGTACTAGCAGAGGGACTTCTCCATCATTGCTTGTACCTTGCAGCGTCCTTTCAAACAGCGAGATCGTTAAATGAACAAACGAACAACCATCCTAGTGCCGTGCCGATTTCACTCCGCCCGCAACGGACGCTCTCGCTCAAACGTGACTTCCCCGTGTCCCAGAAGTGGCTACCTACAGGCAACTCACCTACCCAACCAACATAACATTTCCTTGCCATAGGTTCCCAAGAACTTTACAACAAGCATTCACCCTTGTCTGATCAACAGAGAACTAGAGGCAACTTCCCCCCACACCTCCCTAATTCTTACCTCTAAAAAACATATTGACCCTCCCCATCATTCCCTGCAACCCCTTCAGTGCCTTCCCATCCTCCTTGGCCTGCCTCTGCGTCTCGTCCCACCCCTCTCTGATCCACCCCGGCAACTTGGCCCTCACATGCTCCTTCTCAAACCGATTGTCTATCAACACAATCGCCGCGTAATCGTTCTGATGCCGGATCGCTCTTCCAATCGACTGGTTGACGGCACGAAGCGTGGCGTTTTCGTAAAATTGGTGCGAGTCGCGCGCAGCGAGTTTGCGAACGTTGGGAGGTTTGTGTTTATCCTTGTTTCTGGACGAAGAGGGGTTGGTGGAGTGGTGGGTGGTGTTGGACGGGGGCGGGATCACTGGGGCGGGAAGAGGTGCGGTGGCGGTGCTGGTTTGTTGGGAGGCGGTATACCGCTTGATAAAGTTCGCTTCGAGATACTCTCTGCGCGCTAGCCATTCGGGGGAGTGGGGGTTGGGATAAGGCATGCCGACGACGATGACGCACCGGCCGAGGCGGTCGGAGAAGTTGATGCCTTCGGACATCTTGCCGCCTATTACCGACAGCAACATGGCGCCTTTGACCCGACTTCCGGCCGGGGAGAGAGGACGGACTTCGGAATGGATGACGTCGCTGTACTTTTGGAGCGTCTGCTCGCTCGACTCGGTTTTGGAGTCTATGAACAGGGCTTTCTTGCTTTCGAGTCGCTCCCAGATGGTTTTGGGGCCCATGGCTTGCTCGTGCGTCTTCCAGACTCCAATGACCTCTTCCAGGTAGCCGTAAGAGGGGAAGAAGGCGACGACGCCATCCGGTACGACAGAGCAAAGATTGAGTAGCACCAAGCCGAGGCGGTTGATCATGTTGGGATTGCTGCGCTTGGCAAAGGTGAAGTCGAAGCAGTCCTCGCCGATTCCCGTGTCCACTTTTGGGTTGGGGGCGATGGAACCCAGAGTCCAGACGCAGAGGTTGTCTGGGGGAATGACATGTCCGCAGCTGAGTGTTGTGATCTTCTCTGGCGGTACGTCTGGGAATAAATGTGCTTTGTAGTCCTCGAAAGGGGACATCGTTCCACCAGCCAGGATGACCGCCCTTGCGCTCTCCGCAATCGACGAGAATGCGTGTGTCGGCGAGAGAAGCATGTAGCTGAGCTTCATATCCTGCAGTTCGCCCCTAGGTGGAGGTATCTTCTCATAGAAGATCCTGCCCTCCGAGCTCAAATTCGTCAAGGCTGTCAAGAAGGAGCACAGGGTGTGGAGCACTGGTGGTCTGCCCTGCCTCGCCTTTATTTCCGTCTCGGCTTCCTCATCATCTGTGTCACGACCTTCTTCCTCGCAATAACTGATATACCCCTCGATCTTGAATGCCAACTTGCTCTCCTGGACATACCGTATCAACTTGTACAAGTTAATTTGATCCGCACCACCCGTCTTCAACAAAAGGCTGGTGTCAAGCACAATTCCTTCCTGGTCTGCCTTGAGCCCCAAAGCAGCCTTGTCCAGTTTTGTTTTGATGTACACTCCCAAAGCTTCCACGACCCTTTGTAGCTGAGCGACCATGACCTTGTTTTCGCCAGTTAGCTTTTGGTGAAACCGCTGGTAATACATGCCAAGTGATAGTTTCGCTCTTTTCAGGTCGGTGTACTTGATCTCAGCAGCATGCACGTTAGACACGGCATCCATAATGTTGTGTGCCTCGTCTATAATCACGATGTTTCCTTCCAATTTAATGCCCAACGCCTCACGGGCGCTTTTTTGTAGGAGGAGAGGATATGGTAATGTGATCACCTCTGCTCCGGGAATGGCAGCACGGGAGGCGTAGTAAGGACATATCTGTAACTGCTTGCCGGTCTGGTAGAGATCTTCAATATCTGGGAGGGTGGCGAGAGCGGTGTCGCGAAACTCGTGGGTCGCTTTGAGGTTGGCAGCGTTTGGCAGATAGGGACATCGTTGTTCTTTGGGTGTCTTGGGTTGCTGGAGGGATTGACACCGTTCGTTGATGGCGGCGAGGGTGCCAAGTTTGTTAACGGTGGGATTGATGCAGAGTTTTTGTCGTGAGGAAAGCGGAATCTGCTTGACAATTTCTTTAGCTGGTTCTTCTTGAGGATTTGGCGTTGGAACAGAAGCAGGAAATCCGGGCCTCCTCAGCTCCTGAATAAACTGCGTCAACTGCGAATGCGTCCTCGAGGTGTAGAAGATCTGTCCATCATGTAAGCTTCATCCTTTTTGCAAACCCCGTCATCCAGTTTAACTCACCTTAATCTCCTCCTCAGCCACTGGCCCCTCGTTCGCTTCCTTCTTCCCTCCCGCGGTCCCCATCCCCACCTTCTCCAAAAGCTCCCTCGTCTCCTTGCTCAACTGACCCATCGGGTCATTCTCGTCCAGCCCCCCTTCATCCCTCCAATCCCCAATCAAGAACTCCTTGTCCTCATCACTGGCTGTCAACCCTCTACTCCCGCCGCTCTCCTTCTTTTTCCCCCCCTCGGCCTCATCCCCTTTCCCCCGGTCCAACTTCCTCCTCTTTCCACCTCTCGCTTGCCCTTCCTCCCCTTCCTTCTCCATCTCCCTCTCCTTTTGCCTTATCCTCTCCAGCGTTCTTTCCATCTCTTCATACTTCTGCGCCAACTCCTCCCATTTCCTCTTGATGGCACTTTCCACCATCCATTCTGGCTCCCCGGATGCCTCCATTTGCTGCTGGATTTTTTCGATTTCGGCTTCGAATTGCAACCGCTTGTGGTTACGTAGCCAGGTCAAGGAGCCGCAGATTAGTGATAACGACTTGCCGGTGCCGGTGGGAGACTCGAAGAGGGCGATTTGTGCGTGGCCCTTGGGGACACTGCTGCTACTACTCGGACCTTTGTCTTTATCTTTGCTGGTAGTGGTTTTGGTAACGATGGATCGGGATGGCTCGGTGGCCCCATTTGCGAGGTGGAAGGTAGGGGCGGTGGTAGGATCAAATAATGAGGGCGTGGATGGGGACGTGGAGGGGTTGCTAGGGATGAGCGTGGCGGCAGTCGATGAGAAGGTGGCAGAAGGGGCGGTGTTGTTCGTGCTGTTGGTCGTTGTTTGAGGGGGCACGGCGACGGTTCGGTCTAGAACAGAATACAGAGTCTGCATAAAGGCTGTTTGGATGGGGTAGGGAGTGTATGGGTGGTTGAAGTCGGTTGGTGGTGGTCTCATGTTGTCGGAATTCTGGGAGTCCCTTTGGATAAAGGAGGGGGCTATGACGTTGATGTCGGGTATTGGTAGTGTGGAAGCCATTCTGTGGTACTTTTGTAATTGATGCGCTGAACGCTGGTGAGGAGGATGTAGTGAGACGTAGAATCAGGTAAGTAGGTAGGTAGTGATGGGTTATGGTGGATGGGTGAATTCTTCGATTTCGCGGAAACGGACAAAAAGTCACAAAAGTGGGGTAGACGAGAGGTTTTCTTGGAGAGATGTTGGAACAGTCTGGAATATCAAAACACGGCAATGTATGGCGCCTGCGCAACGAGACTATGTGATGGAGATGATTCTTCCAAAGAATATGGATGTTGGAGATGCAGCTTGCGTTACGTGACGAACAAGCCGTGACGAGAGGGATGAGTAGCGAGGTCACGTGAGTTCGTGTTTAGTGCTGTGCTTCCAGATTGGGAAGTTCTGTTACGGTGCTGCCTGCTCAGGGGCAAAGTCAAGAACGAAGTCTCCAGCAATAAGTAACTGCTTGCAACAAGATCGATGAATACCTCTATGCTAAGGCATTGTGCCTACCTACCTACAGTAACAACCTCCCTGCGCCAATGCGGTCGGATGGTATCTAAACTATATCTACCTAATCATGAATCCACCAGACCCGACTTTAAGTAATTTATACCTATAGAGGGAAGACCGGGTCTGAGAACAGGGTCAAAATAGGGTTCTACAAACGTGTTTAGGCGAAAATTTCTGTTCAATTTTGGAGCGGTTACTCAAGGTGTCAGGTGGTCCATATGGATGTTTGGTTATAACAAACGTCTCTAAATAATATAGTAATAGACCCTCTTTTAATTGCCCGTCTGCTTGTATACTTAGTTCTATTTCCCTATTATCTCTATAGTCTATTGTTATTATACTCCGTTACTTTATAATTATTTATTATTATTATAATTTATTTTATTCGCAGTCTACTGCTTTATAAATCGTGGTTATAGTAATGTATTCTTTAGTTCGACAAACTTATGGACGAAGTATATTCTTCCTGTTGTATAGTCTTTTTTATTGGATATTCTACTTTAAAAAGAAATGTTGTCGGATATGCCGCGCTTTTAATACGTCGTCTCTATTATTTCTAATGGTATATTCTGCTGGGAATTGTATTTATATTTCTGTTTATTGAGCTGGGAATTGTGTTTATATTTCTGTCTATTGTATTAGGAATC